GTACGTATACATGTAATAAGTTATGTACGTATACATCTAATAATTTATGTACGTATACATCTAATAATTTATGTACGTATACATCTAATAATTTATGTATGTGTACATCTAATAATTTATGTACGTATACATCTAATAAGTTATGTACGTATACATCTAATAAGTCATGTACGTATACATCTAATAATTTATGTACGTATACATCTAATAATTTATGTACGTATACATCTAATAATTTATGTACGTATACATGTAATAATTTATGTACGTATACATGTAATAAGTTATGTACGTATACATGTAATAAGTTATGTACGTATACATGTAATAAGTTATGTACGTATACATCTAATAATTTATGTACGTATACATCTAATAATTTATGTACGTATACATCTAATGATTTATGTACGTATACATCTAATGATTTATGTACGTATACATGTAATAATTTATGTACGTATACATCTAATAAGTTATGTACGTATACATCTAATAAGTTATGTACGTATACATGTAATAATTTATGTACGTATACATGTAATGATTTATGTACGTATACATGTAATGAATTATGTACGTATACATGTAATGATTTATGTACGTATACATGTAATGATTTATGTACGTATACATGTAATAATTTATGTACGTATACGTCTAAACACATGTAGTAATTCACTGACTGTATTTTTTGGATGACAGGACGAGTTGTTCCAGCTAGTCACAGACCAGGGTTTTCTGACTGAGAGTAAAGTTGTGTGGGAAACACTAAACAACGTTGAGGGAGATGGCCACTTTGTAGATGCCAACTTTGTTACAGTGCCACCTAAAGCAGCAGAACCTGTGAAAGTTGACTCGGATCTTACCCCAGAACAGCAAGCAGACCAAGAGTATGTTGGTCATTGTTTGTTGTTAGAGAAGTTAATTAAAATAACCACAGTTAACGGTCAACTATAATTGTAGTTAAGAATTGACCTACCGTGATTGTCCATCTCTCCAAATTACATCCTACATTATAACAGAAAAACTGATGTATTTTGTTGTGGTTTGGGAAATGGTCAACAGTAATTCCTTGGAGGTTATTCATTAAACCTGTATTCCAAAGAACAGGAAAGAGTGATAACATCTGTGTTGCCCACTGTATGGAGTAAGGACTGTCTAGCTACTCTGTTGTAGTCCGTGCTGTGAAGGGGTATACTTCCACCTGTTTAGCACGATCAGCATGAAGAGTCCATTCTATTGGCTGTGCAGAAACCTTTGTTGTGTGATTTAACTAGAACTGCATTGTTACCCTATTCACTGTGGACAGTGATATTGCAAGTGACCTGCCTGACTTTGACCACCTTTCCTTTCTTGTAATTATGGTTAGCTTCGTTTACTGCATGGCTGTATGTATTCTCTGGTCTTTGTTGAACTATATCTGTATATATTTGTTGACATCATGAAATCATTGATTTGTATTCTGTTTGTTTGTTTGCTTGCTGGTAGGGATATTTTTTGTAGTTTCATGCATGTTAAGTTGGTAGTGTTTATTGTTCCAAAATCTAGTCATTTCAAACTGTGACATCTCTAAATATAAACACAGTTTATAATCTAGAGTTTGTTTATATTTATAGCTACTTGGTGGCTCTGACAATGCAGGAGGAGCAACAGAAACAGGATGAACAACGAAGGATATGGGAGGAATATAAACAGAAAAATCTTGGAGGAAATGATTCTATGACAGAGTGAGTCTGTCCTTTGAACTCCCATGGGGTGTGATTATTAAAAAGTACTGCATCCTTGTATCTAATCCTTTGTTATTATTGAAGACCCCTTGAATACTGACTAGTCTGATATCGATGGCTTTAAGTAATGTCTTGTGTTGCAAATGGTGATATGTATACATGTTTACAATGGTTAAAAGTAGACATGAATATTGGAATGTGCCTATATATACAAGTTTGTCATGTCAGGTTACTACACAGACTGAAAAAAAAACTGCATAATTTATTAGAAAGAATATTTAATTGTTATACAATATTGCCTTTTAAAGAAAATAACCAAAACTCTACCTGTGAAATTCAGACTCTTTAACACTGTTGCTACGGGCATCTTGGCACATCGCGAGGTTTTGGTGAATTACATTCAAAATGTTATTAAAGTACTTTCTTATCATGGTATACGAATAATTTTGGCATAAAAAGTAGCTAATAATCCAAATCTTAATATTATATAAGTTTTAAAATTCTTAATTTTATAAGGCAATATTGAAAAAAAATCGTTAATTTCCCCTAGTATGAGAATAGTGATATTTACTCTCTAGGTATTCCCTACAAAATTTAATGTAAATTGCTCATTATAATGTTGTCACTGCTCAGGCAAAGCATAATTTTTATAGCTCTCAATCTTATTTGCTTACAAAGCCATAAAATAGAAATTCAAACCAGACCCACATGTAAAAAACCTTTCTTTCAGAAATTGCCAATAAGTTTCTTTGATGTTTAATACTATATTAGCTGTAATCAATAGAAAGCCAATGTTTTAATATATCAATTGATGTATTATGTTACATTGTTTTGGGTACACTGAATTGTGAGTTTTTCTTCCACTTTATTCCCATTGCAAACACATCGATGAGCTTAGCAAAATTCCTAATAGCTCTTGTTGCATAGCTAGATAAACCAAAAAAATTGTGCTAGTTATGGGACATTGCCTGTTTTCTTGCATGTCATTATTCTGTGTTCTTTGATGCATAATTTAATTAAATAAAAAAATAAGTGCAGTAGTACCATTAGTATAAAAAAAAGTAGAGTTAAGTGTCATCGACGGTCGGCAGCCAAAGAAAAAAGAACCCAGGTAAGTACTATATTTTTTGTTTTTCATGTGTATTCTTTATTTATTATTATAAAAGTAACTGAAATGTAAAAAATTTTAAACTTTTTAGGTTAGATTAGGTAAAAATAAATAGTAATAATACACTCGTTAGTAGCTCATGTGTTATGTTATAGGGTAACGTGAGCTACATGTTCACTAAGTGATTTCCATTTTATATGGTACAAATGTTAGTTAGATTCAAAGGGCAATAAAACAATATAACTTAAATATAAACAGATGTATACTGTCAAAAGTTTAAAACTATTTTGGATAAACAAATGTAGTTACAATTTAAAGTCATTCTAGAAAAAAAAAAGGTAATTTAAATTTATTTTATATGATTACTGCCTGAGTTAGGGTACATAGAATATAGTTGAAAAAAAAAAACACTTGATATCTGTTTAGGAGGTTTTAGAGATTATGGAAATTTAAAATGAAGAAAAATATTTTTAATCTTAACATGAAAATAACTTTGCACTTGGTGCAGTCAACATTTTGACTCCATGTATCCATGGAGAAATTTTTAGTGAAAATACTTCACTAAAAATTCTTACTTTTTTGTCTACAAATGACTCTTAATGATTACCAAAAGCTTGTGAAATTTTGTGAAGATACACAAAACTTATTAGAAGTTATAGTATGGATACTAAAGGTCAATTTTGGGTCACCAATTCGGCCGATTCAACAAAGTTCGTAGCAAGAGAGTTAAATGAAGTGAAATATGTTTGACAGTGGTTTTAGAGTAGTATAAAGACATGTTTTTCACCACATGCATTTATGTGTATGGTGTAGTCGGTCCTTAAGTTAACAATCATTTACTTTCCTGTGAAATGTAACTTTAGCTTGAAACTTTCTAAATAAAAAGAAATGTAAAAACTTCTAAACGTATTGGACTTTTATTTGTTCATACTCAACCTTGTATATATATGGTTGTAAAAACTAAGAGATAATATTGCCAAGAAGTGACATGCGAGAAACAAACAAGGAAACTTAGCTTTTAATTAAATCACTTTAGTTTTATTCCTTATTACTTCTTTTTTTTTAATTTGCACATTTTAAAATCTCTGAAGGAGAAATGTTTATTGCCTTAATGTGATTTGTCAAATTCGTCATGATTTTATTAATAATTTACTTTTTTTTCTGCTAGTTGTATGTAATTTTTCTCTTTATTACTTTAGTGTGTTTTTTCTTATTTTATATCCTGTTAAAAAGATTTATTTGAAATATTTTGTACAAGAATTAAATAACATGTTGAAGAAACGTGTTCTAAAAAGTCGGGTTTCGTAGTGTGGTATCAACAGCAGTTTCCACAAGATCAGAGATAGAATCAATTGGTTTTTGTATATTCAGAAGCAACCAGGATAAGGAGAATTGTACTGTTTGGCAGGACTCTGGATGTACACTACTGCCAAAATCACAGTACTATATCCCACTTGCTGTTTGGCAGGACTGTGGATGTACACTGCAGCCAAAATCACAGTACTGTATCCCACTTGATACCGAAACGTGGATGTACACTACAGTCACAATCACAGTACTGTATCCCACTTGCTGTTTGGCAGGACTGTGGATGTACACTACAGCCAAAATCACAGTACTGTATCCCACTTGCTGTTTGGCAGGACTGTGGATGTACACTACAGCCAAAATCACAGTACTGTATCCCACTTGCTGTTTGGCAGGACTGTGGATGTACACTACAGCCA